ATTCAAATTGTGTGTCATCATAGGTATTTGTATCCATAATTTCATTAATTACCCCAGGACTATCTTCTTGAAATTCTATTCCACTTAATTGATTTATAATTACTTTATTGATATCATTACTTTCAATATTATTTTCAGTTGTAATTTCATTTTCGAAATTTTTTTCAACTGACAAATTAGTTTCGAATTTATTTTCAAATTCTTTATTATTTTCTTTAATTATTTTAATATTATTTATGCTTTCTTTTAGCATTTCCATTGTTAAAACTTCCTCATCTCTCATTACTTGAATGATATCTTTTTCAAAATCAATTTTTGTTTTTAAAACTTTTAACATATCAGCCCCAATTATGCAATTGCAATTTAATTTAGGAACAATTATGAATACATATTGACCATCATAACCACACATTCTGAAATCTGCTAGAACTTGAGTGTTTATTTTTATAGGACGTGCTCCGGTTGCACCTACAATACTCATACCTACAATTGGTAGTTTTTCACATTTATCAAATTCTACAATATTTTCATTATAAAAATTATCCGTTATACAAGTTATTTGACTACCAGTATCAATCAATGCTTTTACTTTTTTATCTACTATTTCAAATTCAATTACCGGACATCTTCCTAAATGATCATGAACATCTATTATTTGTTCTTTTAATAATTCTTCACGCAAATCAGATGGAACTATTTCTTTGTTTTTACTTATCAATGTCATTGACCTCGGATCTGTAGTAAGCAAGCTTTTATTTACAAACCCGAGGTTTATTAGTTTTCCGAAGTTGATGAAATCTCTCTACAATTATTATTATTATTTGAATTTTTAGATTTTTTTGTTATGTTAATTTTTGCTTGTTGAGAATTTTCATTACTCGGATTATTTACATTTGAAACATCTCTTTGCTCTTGCTTTACATCATATGTATTATATCTTGAATTTTCAACGTAGCCATTACTATAATATTGACGTTGATTAGAGTTGTTTTGAGAATTATTTGGTCGAGGATTATTACTAGAATTACCCGAAAATCTGTTTCTATCAGAATTGTTATCACGGTAATTTTCATTTCTGTTTTCTTGTCTTCTATTATTATTATTATATCTACTTTAATTTGGATTATTCCCCTGATAACGATTCTGATTTTTATTATCATTTGGATTTTCCCTTTTTTGATTTTGTTGATTATTATTTTGAGTATTTTGATTTTGTAAATTTTGCGAATTTTGTTGACGCTTGTAATTGTCAGAACCACTCCTTGAATTGTTTTGAGAATTACCAGAATTTGAAAACTTTCTTTGAGAGTTAACTGGACCTGCTCTATCGAATTTTTCCAACAAATCTAATAAATCATTAATTTTTTTAATTCCTCTTATTATGATTTGAATGTTTGAATGTCTTCACTAAAATGTCTCGCAATTTTCAAAACAATTTCATTTTCTAAAGGTGATGGAATTAAATCTTTAGCTTTATTTATTACTTTAATTGCATATGCCGACCTTGACAATTTACCGTTTGGTCTATAAGAACCAAATTCTAAATTAGAACTTATTTTGAATCTAATATCTTCATTCCAAAATCGATTAATAAATTTTTCTTTTAAATCACCAAAGTGGTCATTTTCATCTTTGATTAAATTCCACCATTCTTTAGCAATTCCATCTAGACATGCTTGAATTATAAATTTAGTTTCTGAATTTAAAATATCATTGAATGTAATATGATCTTGCAAATCTCTCAAAAATACCATCAGACGTTCTTGATTACTTCCGGAATACTTTGGCAATGGATACTCTCTAATCCACGAATTTCTAGTTGTTACTTCACTAGTTTTTAATTTACTAATTCTTTGTTCAAATAAATTTTGAGTTTTTTCAACTTCTTTAATTTTACATTCATTATGCATCACTGCCATAGCATTCTCTTCTGTAGTCAAATGTACCGTATTTAATTTACTGTCCATTTCACCTATTTTACTCGTAACCTCATCCAATGTTTCCTCTACATTCAATTTTAAATTTTCATATTGTCTTTTGTTAATTTCAATACTCGCATCAACTTGTTCATACAATCTATTTTTCAACTTTTCAATTTCTCCTTCATTTTCTTCTATTCTTTGTCTAATTCTAGCTCTATCTGTTGTGCATTTTTTAAAATTATCTTTCTGCTGAGTCGCGATTTTACCCAAACCTCTTTTTACTTTTTTAACTTCTAATCCCAAATCACGCATGAATTCATCGAAATCTTGTTGTGTTTTACTCAATATTTCTTTTTCTTCTTCATTAAATTCTACATCTTCCTCTTCACTTTCTTCCCCAAATTGATGGATTGTTTCTACATCATCAAAAATATCTAAAATTTATTTTATTTAAATTTTATTTTATTTAAATATTTATTTATTAACAAGATTTTTCTTTTAGATGCCACTATAGCGGTCATACACATTGGTGGCACGAATTATTTTTGCGTATATAGACGTCATACACTGGGAAGGGGTTAAAGGGTTAAAAAAATTATCAAACTTAAAAAAATCAAATTTTTTGTGTTTTTGAAATTATAACCGCTATTTTTAATTTTTGGGTTAAACGAAATTCTTTTTTTCACACTGGAATCGAAAAGAGCACACTCAATAAAATAAAATTTGATAAGAATTTTCTTTTTTCAGGCGTTAATGTGTTAATCATTAACATAATAAATAAACACTGTAATTTGATTAAAATCTTTATTTGTTTATAATTATTATAATATTATATTAACATCATAGTCAGGGAAATGTCAGGAAAATTTTTTTTTATGGAAATTAAGAAAATTGAGACAATACATAAAAAACCACAATTTATACTAAAAACGTGCAAGTTATTTTGATTTTGATAATGCCAAAAGTAACTATAAACAAATCATTCAAAAATTGTTTTTGAATCATTTTTAAGACAGAATTCAATTTTTCTAATATACCCAAGTGCGAAATTAAAAACGGCCCAAAACTGGCCCAGTGATGGCATAGTCAGTGCCAACTCTTGGCAGACAATAGTGGCCCTACTGTCAGGGGGTTAACCGCGGTAGGCCGTCGGCAGCCAATTATCGGCCGATTCTCGGTAAACATTAATGGCCCATTATTAGCTGCTATTGCTCCCCAGTGTTAGCAAAATTAAAAAAAATATATTTTTTATTTAATTAACTAATTAATTTATAATATTTATACAGGTTATTTCCCTAAGTTAAACGCAAACTTACAAATATTTGAAAAATTCTTACCACTCGCGGGGATCGATACCTGAACCTGATGCACCACAGCCTAACACTCTGACCACTCTGCTACTCTGACGTGAAGTCGAGGAAGCAATAGGGTTCTTATAAACTACACTACACTGGCCGATTATGTGCCATTATTGGGCCGAGCTACGTCCCAATATTGGCAATTATAATTTGCCATCATAGGTACAAAATGTTAAACAATAATGTGCCGTTATTGAGCCAAGCTACGCCCCAATTCTGGCAATTATAATGTGCCATCAAAGACACAAAATTGTTGCCATTAAAGTGACACTAATGTGCCATTAATGGGACGATCTTCGTTACATCACTGGCAATTGAATTTTGCCATTAAAGATTGATCAACTTTTCCGTAAATGTGCCATTATTGGGCCGAGAGCTGGCCCAGTCTTAAAAAATTTGAAAATCTGACCATCGGCACCATCATTGGCCCATCAATGGGACGTTTTAAACACCAGTAATGGTCCAGTAACTACTGCTAATTCTCGGCAGACATTACTGGACCAATGATGGGTCCAATAAAAATTAACTTCTAATTTTTTAAAATTCAATATTTTCAGTGTTTTCAATTACATATATTTCCATAAATGTAAATATCCATACAAAAATAATAATAATATTGTCCACGTGGACAAGTGTAAAGGGGAGAGGGTTTGCCAAATGTTCACGATTGTCCACAACCGGAGGCGGGGGGGTCAGAAATTGGTGAAAAATGTCCATTTAGTATATGTGACGCTCCACGAGAGAAGGGACCTTACCGTTTCAGCGATGCCAAGCGGTGTACGAAACGATCCCCACTCTCGCGGTTCCATATGAGCACACACACATTCATACGTCTGATTTCTGCTCTTGTCGGTGCGCCTCTTTTTCGTTTTCGTCGTTTTCCTTGGCTTGCTCGAAAAATGAGGCGCGAAATTTGAAAATAATACTTCTCAGAGCAGTATTATTTTAAAGATTTTTATAAGAAAATCAATATTTAATTTATACATAATTAATTATTAAATAATTTATATATTAGTGGATTTATTTTTTATCAGTTTATTAATTTTTGTATTCTCTAATTATTCTGTAATAACTAAATTCATTATTGAATAATTATAATATTTTAATGTAACAGTTATTTTATGTACTTTTTGGATTTACTAATAATCTTTTAACTTCAAATTAAGAAACAATATTAAATTATTTTCATTACAAAAATAATAAAATTCTAAAAATAATTTTATTATTTAAGAAAATAATTGAATTTCCTAAAAATAATTTTTACTTTTAAAAATTTCAAGATTAATAAGAATTTGATCAAGGTCGTTTTGAAATTGCTCATCTTTTATAACTTTCGCTATTTGATAAGTATTCATTCTAAAAAGTACCTTCATCGTCATCAGATTTCCTTCTACAATTATTTCCATTGCAAAAATGTCGAGTCTGAATTGTAGAATTTTGAATAATTCCGAGTCGTCTTTCAATTTTTCAATTGGTTGATTAAATTAATCGACCTTGATTCTCTGTAATTGAAAAATATAAATGCAAATGAAATCATATCACAGACACTTAGATCTGACTGAATTCTTAGAAAAAATTAAATCACATCAAATAAACATAATAATATATAATATAATCTATCTATCTACTTTCTTAACTACTTCTCTCTCTTTCACTTCTTCTCTAAACAAAGAGAATAGATGTTACTATGTGACTGGCTATAATTTTGATTGATATGCAGGACTCAGGAGATACTGGCATCTTGGAAGTAACTGGGTATTTAAGAGGACAACCGTTGTCAGCAAATGACCTTATCCATATAACAGGATGTGGAGATTTTCAAATGTCTCGAATTGAAGCTCCAGGAGATCCTTATACTCTTGAAAAGGAAAGAAAAAAGCCAAACACAAATGCAGACGATAACACCATGGAGTTTGAAACTGTTACTAAAATTCTTGAAGAAGCTGATCCGACTAAACAGGTAAGATACTTACATTCTGATATAATCACCTCCTTTCTACAACAATTTTTATAAACATGGTCTTTCGTGGGATACACTACCGATAGCTGTGACCCTTATGGGGTTCCATATGGGATCTTCCCTAACAAAGTACGTTTCATACAAATACTCATATGAAATGCTTATATATTTCTACGTTAGATAATGTTTTTCACGAATGTTCGCTAACATTACACTGTGCAACACATGAAATGTGCATTAAGTTTTAACTTCAGTTTCTGAAAGTACTTATCGAAACTAGCAAACACCTATTTCAGTTTTTCTAGATTAGCTCAGATTTGGATTTTATCAAAATATGAATTTTTTTTGTTGAATTTTCACATTTTTCAGTTTTCTGTTACGGGCGGGTGGGAACACTGGCTATTAAAAGGTTATTAAAAATAATAAATATAGATATAAATATAATATAAACATAAATAATAGAAAAAAGAAAGAGAAAAGAAAGAAAGGTTAATTTCCGATAACAAATTTGGCGCCCAACGTGGGGCAAAAGGCTCGACCATTGTAAAGAAGTTATTCCGGGTATTTATCCATCCATCCGGAATTAATCTGCCTACTGTATAACAGTGGCCGGGAAATGTTTCAGTCCTCTCTCTTTTCATACCAAAGAGACCAGCAACATATACGTGTGCATCAGTAAATGCAAAACTGGAATAAAGTGTTGCAGGCATAGTTCTGATTTGAATTCCACCAGGGTCAGAAGTAGCCCTAAGAAATATGTATGTGCCGGGTGATGATTTGATTTTGAAATCCATGCCAGTGTGCATTTTTAGCACTTTTGATTTTTCCTTCATGGTAGATTTGCTCCATGAGGTCATAACAAAATCGAATTCGTCCGAGTAGAATATCGTCACTAACAAAATGGAGTCCAGTTAGTTTGTTAATACCATCAGGTCTCAAACGCTGAAACCTGGGTCCTGGAACGTATCCTGAAAGGTTTTTTGTTGGTGTACGTCTTTCGGGAAAGCATCCTGCTGGCAGAGGATTGTAGTTGTCATACAATTGCCTTCTAGTTCTGTCGAGCGTTGTATAAGTAACTAGAGGACTTACATTGACTTCATACGCATTGTGATTTTGAGCAGTAATCCGTCCGAAACTACAGGAGGGTACTGCAACTGCACCATTGGAAGGTGTAAGGCCAGGTTGTGGTATAATTGTGTCACAAAAATTAGGCTTATTCGTTGACCCGTCAGGGGTCAGATTTGTCGTTACATGACTGATAAATTCAACAATAGGTTGTGGCAGAGTCATTTCATTAGGAAATGCGGTGAGTAGATCATCATACTCTTAAAAACGCGGCTTATCATTCTCAAATCTTGCTTTATGAATTAGTGCAGCCTGGAGTACGGAATTCGTGCCGTGTACAAAGGCAGATAGAGGCAAAGTAGAAGCGAATCGACTGTGAGTGGACTCAAGCTCGTCGTAAACGGCATTGACCCAGTGTGCACGTTCTGGAACTGTTCTGTAACAGTTAATAGAAATAAAGAACAGTTACATAAAGGTTCCGGAATTGTTCCGGAACGTGCCCCGCTTCGTGGATCTAGTTCAAGCCTGGCACATTTAATTTCAGCTTTTTTTGAAACGTTCAAATGCCTTGATGACTTGATTTTTTCCTCCAAATTTCGGCATTTGTCGTGTTCTGCACCCTTTTACAGTTCTACCAGACAAGTGTTGAAGTAAAGCACGTGGGCGATTCCGAGTCGCCTGAGGTATAATCTCTGACTTCGAGTACTCGAAAAATTCGAGTACTTGATTAAATTCGAGCACTCGAGTGAATTCGAGTACTCGAATGGATTCGAGCTTTTGACTTACTAAAAAAAACTATTAATAAGTAAAAAATTTCGAATTTATTTGAATTACTGAATCAATATTTATATTTGCTAAATACAATAAATGCGAAAATTCTATGAATTTTCTCTAGAACTCGAATTTACTCAAGAGCTCGAAAAAATTCGAGTGTTCGAAAAAATTCGAGTGCTCGAAAAATTCGAGTACTCGAAACTATTCGAGCTTTTTACACAGCTCGGCTCGGCTCGAACTCGAACTGATTAGGCTCGGCTTCGGCTCGAAAAATAAAAAGCTCAAAAAAGCTCGATCGAGCTTCGAGCTTTTTTCACAACACTAATTACTATAAATATTAGAATAAAAATATCAAAATTAAACATTCTGTGAAATAAACAAACAAATTTATAGATTAAATAATTGCCTCTCTCAGTTATTTCTACATCCACTACCCTAAGATCAAAAGAAAATAGATTCATGACACTGAGTGGTCAATTTGAAAAAGTTTTCTTAGAATAAAGTCCTGACTACGAAGCTCAGGTGAAAATAAGTTTACCTGGCGCCCGGTAATAATTAGTTTACAATAAAAAAAGAGCCTCGTAGTAAATACTTGGAAGTTGGAAGAGCGTAACCTCCAAGCTTTGTTTGTTTATATTTTCGAAAGGAGACTTGGACTAAATTACATCACAGTTAAGTATAAATACAGTGATTTAATTTAATAATTAATTTTTAGTAATTAATTATTGACTAAAGTAAATTAATACACAAATTTAAATTATACAATGGACATGAACATTCTTGGCAAGATAGTAAAGTGCTGAGAATCATTGTTACAAAGTATAACTACTTATTTTAAACAGGATGGAAACTTAAAATAAGTACTTATACTTATATTTCTATATTTTTTAAATGAACCTAAAAAAATACACATGAAAAAAAAATTTTCAATGGAGAGGAATCGAAGTTAACTATTTATTAATTAATATTGTTTATAACAATTTAAATATATTATGTCTTAAACAAGAAGAACACATACTCTTTAAATGAACATAAATAAAAAAGAAAACGTAATGTTGTGTTTTTATATGTACCATGTTTTTTCACCGCTACTCAAGTGGTGCTTACGAGAACTTATATTTGTGTTCAGTAGTATGAGTGTAAATTCACGAGACGACGGTCAGATACAAATGTATATTAATTAACCTTTTTTTATTAAAGTCTATTAATTAGAAGTCCGTCTTTTTCCTGGCTAACCTTATTATAACCAACAAAGGTTATGGGCCCAGATTGGACGTGAACTCTTCGGAGGTAAAGTATTCGATTTCGACTGCGACTTTTTCGCTGCTAGTTTCCCTTTCATTCCTTTGGGTTCCAATGCCTGGACTATATCCTCGAATTTTTCCCTATCAGAAGAGTGATGCTGGTATTCAATACTTAATTCCAGATTGGCATTCCACTGGCTGCTGAGAGGAAACACGATTTCTTTCAACTTCATAACTTTCGCCTTTTGTTCCTCCTCTTCAGCTTGCGCGTATCTCTCTAATACGTAGATCAGATATATTGTTGTCATTTGTGTAAGATTCGGAACGTCCACCGGATTTTCCACCATAAACTTCCCCATTAGGAGATTTGCTCTTTCTCCTAGCCTGAAAGTCGACCTGATTATATTAATCATATCCTCCTTCCTCTCTAAGGGGTGAACAAGAAAATTGGCTTCCACCCAATCTGTAAACTTCCTGATGGTCCCCAGGCCACACTTTCCATTGATGTCGCGTGAAAAACATTATACCTCTTGTAGAACATCAACAATACGTATCTACTGCAAAGCGTCGGCGAGTATGTATACAGAGTTTAACGGTGAAACTGCCATCCGCTGTTGTCCTAGAGGAAGGCGCCAAGGAATTCTTGTTGGATATACTCTACATGGTCGAGGTTATCGAATTTGGATACCAGAAATTCAACAAGTTCATGAGTCGCGTGATTGTGTCTTTAAAGAACATTCTTCACAAAAATCGAAAAATTTTCCAGGGAAGTAAGGGTATTCAGTTGCAGTACTCCTGTGATTCGACTTCAAACGATAATGAAGAAGATCAAAATGACAACGTGGATTAAGGTGAACAAGACGACTTTGTCAACGAAAACACGAACTTTGAAGTTTAAAAGAGAGGCACTCCGAGAGGACTATTAGGATTTTGTCAGTGTCTCTTTTTTATATAAGAGAGGCACTGAGAATATATCATTAGTCCAGTCTAAGTGGCTGCTGCTGAACTTTGAAGTTTATAAGAGAGGCACTCCGAGAGGACTATTAGGATTTTGTCAGTGTCTCTTTTTTATATAAGAGATGCATGGAATTGCAAAAATAAAAATAATTAAATTTTATTTACATTTTTACAGCGTAATGACCAGCTGCAAACGCTGACGTTATGTAATTGGGATGCTCCAAAAATCTTTAAACGCCTCCAAAAAACCTCAGTAGAAGGGCAATAATTTGCATGCAATCCAATTCCCGATGTGCACAATCTTTTGCAATCAACAACACTCGTCAGGTCGTGATCTAAATTTCTACGAAGAAATTTTTTTAACCCTTCAATTTTTTCGGGATATTCATTGAAATAATGCAAGTTCAAGACTAGTTTGCTGGCCATTTTTCCTTTTTTAATATTTAACACAACAGGAACGCACAAAACCACCGACCAAATAATTTCAACGACACGGACAAAGAGAAAACTGATGAAAATAATGTTAAACAATTGAAGCACGTTGCTATACACCAAGACTTTTTTGAAGTTGGGTAAAATTAAAACGAGAGACACTATAAATAGTGTAGTCCAGTCTGAGTGTATCCATGTATACTTGGGTAAATGTTACATTTGAGTCTTATAGAATGGCTACTTGTTTGTTACGAGTCGATACATTACCATCTGCTGATTCTTTAAATTTACATTATACATCTCATTTCGCTTGTTACTTACATATGGCTCTATCTCTGGAATCTCTCTCACAAGTGCACGTTATGAGATGTCGATTAATATATAAGGACGAATGAAAAGTATGTCTATAGGGTGGTCCGATATTATTATGGGAGCTGGTGCGCCTTGATTCTGTTGCTAATGACTGAGACTTAAGAAATTTTCTGTGTGTAAGAAGGGTTTTCACTTATCTAGTAACAGAAGCCAGAA